GGGGGGGGGGGTGGGGGGTGGGGGGGGGGGTGGGGGGTGAATTGGGGGGGTGGGGGGGATGGGTAAGGATTTAGGGCCAGCATTTTATCCATTGATATTCAGGATCGAGAGGATCCATGTGTACAGTGCTTCGGGATTTTAAAATAGGTGAAAGAAATTCCAATGCTGTCCTGCAGTTAGGCTTCTCTTATTGCTTAATGTAGGCAAAGGGGTTGTAGTACTGTAATTGTTAATGTGATAGCGTCAGTGAAGTGTGCGGTGCTTTAGCAAGTCCCTGTGTCAGTGAGCTTAGTCTAAACATTGTATGGAAAATGAGAAGGGAACTGAAGGCAAAAGTAAACCAGGAACTAATGCACAATGATTGTACTATACTTAACGTTTCTCATGACATATGGTTCACTCATTTAGGATTTGCACGCTGCTTTTTATTGTAAAAATCTGAAAGCCGCTTACAAAAGCAGAATTGCGAAATAAAAGCAGCCCATTGAAAAGGCAGTTACTGTATATGGGAAGTTACTGCCTGGGGAAGGCCAGTATAAGAGGATTTAATTTAAAAAGTTTAAAGGATGGCAGACTTGGGAGTCTGCAGTACCATAGAGGGGGCTGCATTCCATCGGGCAGGGGCCACTGAAGAGAAGCTCCCTCCCTTGATCATCGTGAAGCACAGGGACAGAAGTTTTTAAATTTTTAAAAGATTTTAAATGTCTGGGATGATGATGATAGTATAAATCAGTGTTTCTTAAACTTTTTGCTCTTCCCACTTTTAAAAATTATGGAGGACCCCAAAAGATCTTGTTTATATGGGTTATATTTATCAATATTTACTGTATTAAAAATTAAAATAGATGCATTTGTAGAAAGTTTATTGAAGCATGTAAAATTAACAATACTAAACCACTAGAAACTAACATAAATAAAATATTTTTCATGAAATATTTTCTAACAAATAAAAAATAAGAATGACATTGTTTTAAATTTTTGCAAATATCCTCAATATCTGGCAAATAATTTTGATTTTGTGGAGCCCTGAGTGGCTCTTGGGGGACCCCAGGGGTCCTTGGACCACACTTTAAGAAAAATGGGTATAGAAGATGCACTTTAAAGTATCTGATGCCTTGTTTTAGAACTTTCTAAGGTAGTCAATAATTACTATTTCTCCAGTATTGATTCCCACAGCTTGCTTTGTTAGCATTGTGGTAATCACTGCAGGTTTTTTAGCATTGCAAAACCATCACATGTTAGTTAAGGTGCTTGGTTAATAACCTCCGTGTACGTGATGCACTAATTGTTGCATTTCCCATGGATATTATTTATAACAGCTCAGTTTGATAGAACATTATTATCCTCATAATGTGTAGGGGCTGAGCCTTCCTTCAAAGAGAGATCTGCCTAAGATGAGATGACACTGGAAATTGGGACTTGAATTTCAGTGACCCTAACCCTAAGTTGGCCTCTTAAGCAGTGTGCTCTACCAGAGCTTACTGTGGGGTTTCTGTAGGTAGAAGGCGCTTTTTACCAAGATGGACTACGAACATCTTTCCTATCCTTTAGAAAAAGTAGGAATAAAGTAAATACACTTTGAAATTATATAATCGTAGGCTGCTTTAAAAAAAAATAGACTGTTCATTCATAGTCAGGCAAAGGCAGGATTTCCCATTCAGAATAGATTCTATTTCAATTGGATTCATCTAAATTCCTTCCAGAGAAATGTATGGTAGCCTTAATAATCCAATACAGGCAATTCAAAGATGTATTTTTCTAGTTTAACGTAAAGGCTGTGATCACAACGACACTAAAGAATTGTATGAACTTGTTCCACATAGAGAGTAGAATCCTCAGAGTAAATTAGTACATTAACTCAATAAATTATTAAAAAGTTGGTCAAAAGGACATAAAATATGTTCATAAATCACATGAAGACTTAAGCAATGTTGACCAACCCATAATTCATTATTGTAATGTGTATTCAAATTTCCCATAATGAGAATCAAAGGCAGTTAAACATTAATGTTCCTCTTTAATGCAAATTAGAGAGATCCAGTTTGGTAAAAATGTGTGCTTACCATTCTAAGAGTTCAGAAATTTTGGGAAGAGGTGGTGATCTCTAAAGGTTGCTAAGTCCATCTATAGTTATGGACTACAAGGGAGCCATCGTCCTTAATGAAAAGTACAAGCACTAGCAGGGGAGAAGAAAAGTATGTTTGCATTCTGCCCTTCTATCCAGGTATTCAGAGGTGGCTTACACTCTTAAAAATCAGTCAGAATATCACATTATTACTTAATATTATGATTAAAGTAAAATTATCTTCAGTTCAAATGTGTGCCTTCCAGTCAGCTTCTTTAGCCCTCTGCAGTTTTCTTGGTAGCATTTTTCAGAAGTGGCTTACCATTGCCTTCTTCCTGGGGTTGAGAAAGTGACTGGCCCAAGATCACCCAGCTAGAACTGAGTGACTAGAGGGACTAGAACTCATAGTCTCTTGGTTTCTAGTCTGACACCTTAACCACTGGCTCTCTCTTACTTGTTGACAAAGAAGAGCAAATGAAGGTGTTGAGAAATAGCTTTTTGGGACCAACCAAAAATATCACAAAAAAATGCAAAGCAGCAATTAGCTGCTCTTGAGGAAAGTTGCAGAGATAAAAATTATGAAGACTTCTGGAGGAATCAAAAGCTATTTTCCTGTTTTATGATATTTTTATTAGAAAAATACTACTCAACTATCATATTGAAGGCAAAAGGAGAAGGGGATGGCAGAGGATGAGATGGTTAGATAGCATCACTGAAGCAATGAGCATGAAACTGAGCAAACTCA